CAAGCGCTTCTGCACGCGCGAGAAGCTCGTGCGCCACCTCAAGACGCACGTCGGCTTGCGGCCGTTCGAGTGCAGCGTCTGCAACAAGGCGTTTACGACGTCGGGCAACCTCGCCCGCCATGCAAAGTCGCACCCGGAATTGGGCTATGGCGACAGCCAGCACGAGGCGCTCTTGTGGGAGCTCCCCGCGCTCCTCGTGCCGACCAAGAAGCGCCGCGTCGCCGAGGAACTGGCGTTGCCCCTCGCGGCAAAGCCTCCGCTGCCGCACTCGACGGCCGAGATCGCCATGGCCCTCTCCGACGAGCCCGAGCTCTTCGAGTGGCCAACGTTCTTCCAGCCCTATGATGCGGTGCCGGCACCCGCAATGGTGTGGCCGCAATACGCCGCCCACGCACTGAGCTTTTATACCGAGCCGCTCCCGACCACAGTCTACTGTGCGCAAGATTATCTCTATGGTATTTAGCATGATGGACCTCAGTTTCGAGATAGAGTTAGCAGCATTTTTCGATGCGATTAATTATTAACATGTAGCAATATAGTCGGGCATGTAGTCAAAAACATAAAACAGCAATGGGTGCCTCTTGCCGAGTCCAACTTGTTTCGTTCTCGACCTCCGAGCATGCTCGACGAGCAAACAAAAGTAGGATCTTGGCCTCGGGCGTCCTGGATCGCTTTTTATCGAGAGGCTACGAGCATAAAATATTTGATGCTCGTCCGAGCCACGATCTCTTGTCTTCTAATCATCAATTCCTTGGACGGCCTTTCGCTGGCTCGTCGTTCTCAATACGAACTCATCGTCCACTTCTTGAAATCGTCCCAAGCGAGCCCATCATAGACGCAGGTGCGTTGTCTCCAACGTGTCCAGCGACCTTGTGTCGTACTACTGGGTACCCACGTTGTCCAAGGCTCGCAACGCAATGGCAACTGCCTACAAGCGCAGAAGGCGCGAGTAACCATGTCGCAAACATCCGCCGTTGACTTCAACCCTGCAAAACTCTCGGTGTTTGTATGCAGTGCAATGGCGCCTCCGCGTAGAGGTGACAGCCTTGACGCGCCGTGGACGATCTTACAGACCGAGTAGCTGCCTTGTCGCAGACGTCTGGCCGTTGCCTTCAACCTATGGAAACCTCTTGATGTTTGTATGCTGACGCTGGCTCGAAAGGCAACTGCCGTCTCCACGCTGTCGTGGCACCGCACATCCTTTTGGCCGCAAAGGATGTGCTCCGATGGGGAGCCGTCGGAGGCCACGTCCCTACGCGGCCTGTCTTTTCCTTCTCTTCATTTTCGTTATTGCTGCACGATGGAGCCCGACCGACCCTTCCAGTGCCCCGTTGATGGCTGCAACAAGCGCTTCAAGCGCAAGTTTACACTGTGTGAGCACCAAAAGACCCACACGGGACTGCGGCCGTTTGTCTGCGTCGAGGCCAACTGTGGGAAAAGCTTTACCACATCGGGTAACCTCGTCCGGCATGCGCACACGCACCGCCTCGACAAGCCGTTTGCCTGCGCTTGGAGCACGTGTGCCAAGCGGTTTTGCTCGCGCGAGAAGCTCGTGCGGCACCTCTCGACGCACGTCGGCTTGCGGCCATATGCCTGCCATGTCTGCGGTCACTCTTTCTCGACGTCGGGCAACCTGGCGCGACATACCAAGACACAAGCCCATGCGAGCTCGCAAGTCGATGCGATCACGAGTTCTACGTGGATGGATCTGAGCCAGCTCCTTCTTCGGGACGAGCCTCAGATGGCAAAGACCAAGAAGCGCAGTCGCGTGGCCGACGAGATCGCAATGCCGCGCGTGCCGTTGGATCTCGAGCCGATTCCAGTGCTGCAGTATCGCTCCGTCGAGCCGTGGAGCCGCGACGGACTCTCTTGTGCAATGACTGCAGGAGATGCATAGTTATCGTTAATAGTATCCCCTCTTGGAATGGTGTGTGGCGTCATTGAATGGACCAGCGAGCATGTGCAGTTGGTGCTGTACACAGAAGACTCGCCAACGTATGCGTCATGGTAGGCCGTATTAGTACCCTCTTTATGCAGATGACTTTGTATCGAATCTACTCCAGATTCAATGTACGTCGAGGACATGAGCATACTTCTTCTATGTCATTTGTTGCAGAAAAGGTTGCTACACGCTTGTCCGCTGGCATCCCGTCCTCCATAGCACATCGCTCCGAAGACCCTCGTCGAACACGTCACGACGCCACGGGTTTAAATCTCGTGGTGCTTGGTCGTTGCTGTACTCGACATCCAGAAGCTACCAGTGACGTCACCGCAACGGAATACATGGTGTGTCCAGTGCTATGTTTTTGAGTATCCAACGCGTTGTGAAGGCATGGGTGTATTCGCCGTCGGATAGGCTATTGGATTTCTCCTGGATCCGATGTTCGAACCAACGAGTTCTGGGGCAGCGCTCACAGAGGCAAGCAAGGAGATCACCGGAAAAGCGAGTTGTTGTGCTAAGCTGCACCCATTGCGTAGCTGTGGATCAGGAGCAATGGGCAATGTCAACGGCTCTCTAAATGCTCGTGGCATCGGGCCCTAACCCTATACGATCGCGGTTGCCAAAGAGTGCGCCACGACCAAACTCTAGAGGGCTTGGAGGTACTGGCTCGCGAGCGTCCAAGCGCTACACCATGCGCGTCCCCTTCCGCAGAGGCGCGACCACCACTGCTGGACGCAAGGTGCGATCGGCAACCGCGGTGCCACGCAGTAGCTACTTTCGAAAGTAACACAAACTTGGCATAAGTAGCCGATTTATATATCTCTTCACGGATCCATGTGACAGCACCGTCGAAGAGGGCTCTCGTAGGAGCACCCTACAAGGCCGCTGCAGTTGACATCGCCTTGATCAAATGTGGCGGGAGATGCATGTCGACTTGGTTGAGCGACGAGAATGTCATTCCGACAGCATTTCGCACCACCGTCCAGTGATTGCCATTGCAACTCAAAAAATTAGATTCACAAGATTCCAGTTTCGGGAGTAGACAGTGGGACTCGTAACATTGAGGAATCTTTCACCATAACCAGTCGCCCTCGGCACCCCAAATTCATCGTACATTGGCCTTCCTGATGCTGGCTCCAAGGCCAACAAGTACCACGTCAACCAAGGGCAGCAACCGCACATCCTGTTCGGTGCCCGTCAACAAGGCACGCGTGGATTCGAGGCCACAACTTTCATTTTCACTTTCACTTTTGCTACGCCATGGAGCCCGACCGACGCTTTGCCTGCCCCGTTGACGGCTGCAACAAGCGCTTCAAGCGCAAGTTCACCTTGCACGAGCACCAAAAGACGCATCTGGGACTGCGGCCCTTTGCTGCGTCGAG